TTTCAGACTACAACAGACATCCAAACCTAATCAGATCAGATAAAAAAATTCAATCCTATTAAAAACATTCTCACACTATTCAGTTAATTCATATTTGGTTATTTTAATTTGTTTAAATTGAAAATATTAAAGATTATACTTTAAAACTTCAATTTATTATCAAGTAAATGTCTTTAACTGTTGATTAATAAGCTTGGTATACCATGAAATAATAAACTACATTACGAATGATTAATAAAAAGTATCCCATACAAATACGAGTACTAGCAAAAAAGTTAATATATACTATCGTATATATATACTACCTCCGTTCTCTTTTAGTTGCAATATTGGACTTTTTGCACTATTCACATATTCTACTTTGACTATATTTTATTAATTAATGTATTATAAATTAAATTTCTAAAAAAATATTGTTAAATTCTTCTCATTCTAAATTTTCAAAATATGAATTTTTTAATTTTTTTTAACTAATAAGGAATGAAAGATATTAATGGTCAAACTTGTGTGTTGACAAACGTGAAATGTTGACTGTTGCAATTAATATGGAACAGAGGAAGTATATTAAAAATATAAAAAGGAAGAAAAAAGAAAGAAAATGGAGTACTAATTTATAATATTGAAAGAATGGCAGATATACTACCTCCAAGTATGAGGTGGACGAAAAAGGGAACGGACCTCTTTTTTGACAAAAAGAAGACTCAAATTAGATTCAAAGACTAAAATGCCCTTGTTTCAAAAATTAGAAAACAGCATCTGGCCGACATCTGCATCACCGTTCTCTTATTTTAATCTACCGCGTGAAGAATATTTCCGTCCAGCGTCCCAGCGTACGCCGCCACAGGTCCCAACATCGTTCGCAGCGTACGCCATCTCCACCCCCTGTCTTACGTCGCCTCCCTCCATCGTACGCCGCCGCCGCCTAGCTTGTCTTTTCTTCTTCTTTTGTCCGATTTTGGGATGCGACTGAAGAGATCTGTAATCGTCAGATCCGACGCACGGCGGCTGCTCTCGGTAAGGATATATGAAGATATGTGGTGGCTAGGGTTTATTAGCTATTGTGCGGCGACTGGGGAAGGCAATTAGGGTGGAGGTTGGGGAAGGGGAACGGTGGTGGCGACTGGACTGGAGTGGGGGCAGCGGCGGGGCTGGTGAGTAGCGTGGCATTGGTGGTGGACGGATTGGGAAGGTGGATTGGGTAGGGTCCAGGTGGCTGTAGAGGGGGAAGCTGAAGAGGGAGGCTAGGGCACCGGGGGAGGCAGAAGAGGGGGGCTATGTGTCAAGGAGGTGTGGTGGCGGGTTGGCGGCGGTGACGGCGCTGCCGTCAGTAGCTATTGTGGCCGGCGGCGGTGGTAGGGGTGGTCACTATCGGATTCAGCAACTGTAACGGGGTGGTGGGTCAGATAACTATAACTAAATTGCCGGTTAATGTCTGATTATGTAATTTTAATTGATCGGGTAATTGTAATTGACGAGTCGGGTAACTGTGATTGACGAGTCGAGTAATTGTACTTGGTCAGATCGAGTAATTTTAACTGGACTATTCGGGTAACACTGGTAATTGTAATTGGACAAGTTAGGTAATTGTAATTGGACGGATCAGATAACTGTAATTGGATAACGAGTCAGGTAACTGTAACTGGACGGGTCGGATAATTGTAACTAGAGTTAGTTAACTGTAGTTAGAGATATACATGGTAATTGTAGTTAGAGATATACATGGTAATTTACCAATACCGTACTGTTATTGAACCGAAACTACAGTATACTGTAATTTTAAAGATAACAGTACGGTATTGGTAAATTACCATTACCATTGTACGGTATTGTAGTAAATTACCATTACCATTACCAATACCATACTCTAATTGTAGTTAGAGATAAAATGGTATACTATACCGCATTACAGTATACCGAATTAGTTTCGGTTCAATAACAGTACGGTATTGGTAAATTACCATGTATATCTCTAACTACAACAAATTATCATAGACTAACGAAATATACTAAATCGGTGTTACTAGCGACATATTTAATCCATTATTAAAATGTTACAAAATACAATTAATAATCTATTGATGTCATATTCAATATTGAACAATAATTATTATTACTCCCTCCGTCTCATTTAAAGGTTCTCGTACACTATTCTCCGGTCAACGTACATTGTTCTTAATCTTTTACTTTTTATATCGAAAGTTTATGAAATTTAAATTATTTTTTTCAGGTTTTGTAGCGGTTTAATGTAGTTTCTGAATATGTAAATTTTATTTACTAAAAATAATTCTATTAATGACAGGGATCAGTTAACTTTATGGTCAGTCAAACATCGTAAATCGTGTGGGAACCTTAAAGTGGGACGGAGGGAGTAGTATATTTAAGCAGTTCAACATTCCCCATATTAAAAAGTAACACATTATCCTAAAATAACTTGAACAATATAGATAAAATTAAATCAATAGTGATCTCTAACAAAATAAGTAAAACTATTCAAACAACATGGGTATAAAATCACTTATTCCTAATATGATATTGTGTATTTAGTCCTTTTTAAAATTTTTTTAAAAAAATATTTGAATAAGACTTTTGGACAAAGTTGTGTGCCTTGACTCGCGGAATCCTTATGTAGATACACTCGTCACATAAGTGTATCTTTCTTCACTCTTCAGCTACTCAGTAGCTCAGTCATTGCGACTAGCAAGCTCTTGGAACAAGATGGACTTGTTTGTTGACATTAGTACATTACTCACTAGTCGTTAGGGTTAGTTTGTTTGAATGTTACGTAGTAGAAGCCTGGAAGGTTATAGCGAGTTTGAAAAATTGGGCCTTTATCTTTGTATTTTAGTATTTGTGACAAACCTAAGTATTAATTTTGAGCTTCAAAATTGTAATGGACTTTTACAATATTTTAGAATTTAAAGTAATTATTCGGTAGGGAGTCGGTACAGTATTATACTAGTATACCGCAGTATTTGAAAACATTTACCGTTACCGTACCGAAATGAATCGGTACGGTATGATACCGTACCAAAAATGACGGTATACCAATATTCCAGTATTTTTCGGTACAGTAAGTGCGGTATACCGATTTTTCGGTAATTTTGCCCACCCCTAGATGCAGCCAGGGTTTTGAAACAAATTTTCTCACATATTTTTTGATATTGAAACAAGGGAATGCCCCCTCAAACCAAACAATGTGCACATGTTTGTAACTTGCGTTTTGTATTAAATTAAGTGGTTTGTCTTTTCACAATAAGAAATAGTAGGTGGCTTGTCAAAGATTATATCGCAATTTACTTCACCATTCTGTTGAGTAATGGTATGGGGCGCTGGGGTGGACGATTCCACTTTTTAAGGCCGGGTTGAGGAACTTCATTACAATCTCACAATCCACTCAAATAGTAAATAATTTATTGGATTCTTAGATTATGAATGAGAAATACTCCAATCCCAAAATAAAATTTATCCTTTCATTTCTTGTTTCTCAATATCTACAATACTAGATTATCACTGTGTGATTAAGAACTCTATTATAAAAACGCATAAATAATTGAACTTAGAATAAATTGGTGAGTAATATAATAAGTCTTCATAGTTGAAGAAAGATTAAAACATCGTCGAAGAAGGAAAAATGTAAATATTATAAAAGAAATATAACATTTTAAAGTATAAAGGGATAAGCTAGAGATGTTTAGTAGAAGATACACCCTCTTTTCTTTTAACCGCAATGAGTCATTTATATTAGGGAGAACTACTAAATAAGCCATAGAACTTACATAAAAAGTGCAAATCACCCCTTTTATAGGATGCTCTGTCCGGCCGTCGCCATTTGGGGCGGTTTTTGGTGGAATTTTTTGATGAAATGTTTTTAGAATCTTTTTCATTAAGTCTAGTTTACCCATACCAAATTTCGGCTAAAAATTCAACCGGAAACGCAGTCAAATGATTTTTCTGAAATATACTGCACTGTTGAATAGCGCAGTTATCTTCAAAAAATCATTTGACTGTCTTCCCGATTGAATTTTTAGCTTAAATATGGTGTGAGTAAACAAGACTTAATGAATAAGATGCTCAAAAAATTTCATTAAAAAATTCCACCGGGAACCGCCCCAAATGGCGACGTCCGGACAGAGCCTCCTAAAAAGGGGGTGATTTGCACTTTTTATGTAAGTTCGAGGGTTTATCTGATAGTTTTTCCTTTATATTACGGAGTATTTCACTCTATCCGCACAACTTTTGGCTCATAGTTTCTAGTTTCTTAATCTTCCTACAAAGTCAAACCAGCATTCTAATGCCTAATGGATTGGAGGGGGTAAAATTCGTAGTTAGTTAGGTTAATTGAAATTCATTCGCTTCGAATTTGGTTACATTCCACCAAGAAAGGCCTGTTCTCTAGATTAATTACTTCTGAAAATCAAACCTAAACCACAACAAAAGGAGGGAAAGATAAATCAACATTACGCTTGTTTTGGGTCTGAAAGTTTTTAATATTTTAAACCTCTAACTTTATGAATGGAGAAACAATTGTGGTGACAGAAAAAATAATTTAAATACCCCAAACTTTTAAAAGGTGTGAGGTAAAGCACCCCAAATTTGCATATGTAATAAAAAGTACTCCAAAATTTATTAAAAAAAATTATCTTAGCACCATCATAATATGTTTTTTCTTTCACAAATGCAAATTTATAGTGTTAAAATATAAAATTTAAAATACTTCGGGCATTTATAAGGATCAAATTATTAATCAACCTTCAATATTTGAAATAAATAACATTAACAATTAAGTTTATATTGTTAATTGCACACTCAAAAATGGTTAGAATATTTAAATTACTTGCTTAACACTATAAATTTACATTTATGAATGAAAAAACATTTGATCATCATGCTAAGATAATTGTTTATATAAAATTTGGGGTAATTTATATAGTTATGCAAGTTTGGGGTGCTTACCTCACACTCATTAAAAGTTCGGGGTATTTAAAGCTAACTCAGGTTACTTGACCTAAATATCGAATTAGTAATTTTTTTGTATAACTTGGACGAATAGCCAGTCTTTACATACAACAGAATTTGACCCTAAAGGGGCTGCTAGTACATTTAAGTTAACTAATTATATTTTATATATATTTGAACAATTGAGGTACAAGTATACATGTCATTGAAGTTTGCTTGATGCTATTACATACAAAGATAGTGCCCAAATTCCGGCAGCCATGATCCAGGAGCTTATTACCAGGTGGTGTTAATTTCTGCAAAAAACGGCCCATCACGTGCTCTTTAGCTGGCAGCTTATATGGTAGGATCTGGCTAACCCATAAGCAGTTTTGGACTTTGGTAGCAAAAGATGGAAACCATATGGACAAAAACTGATGGTGATATACTGATATCTTCATATGGTGGGTAGGTGCTGTGCATATATACTATCATCATTGCTGAAGAACAAGATTTAGCTGATGTGCAGATTTTGCCAGCAAGCCTCCTCTCCTGCATAACATTTTGTTTAACTCAACATAGCAGACAACGAGACAAATCTTATGCAACGGAGCCAAAGACTCACTATTTTTTGGAAGCGATTTTCACTATGGGTCATACGGAAACAGCCTCTCTATGCTGTAGTGTAGGGGTAAGACTGCGTACATCTGACCACCCTTACCCCACCGTAGGTGGGAGCCTTTGCGGCACTGGGATAATGATAATGATGATGATCAATAATTCTGATGTGAAACCGGACGTAAACCGTGTTTCATAAGTGTCTTGATCTTTTATACTATCTATATGTTTAATATAGACTTTTTTCATAAGTTTCTTAAGCGTCTTAATCTTTTAATAATGCATGCATATAAGTTTCTTAATCTTGAAAATGTATTGTATTCACAATAATAGAATATAGAATGTTTCTTTCATTATGATTCTAGTAATGTTTTGTGGCTTGTTTCACGTGACTGCATCAGATACACTTACCCATACCATTCATAGGGAAAATTAAACGACTCACATCAATAAATCCAGAACTGATACTCTGTACCTAAATTAGCTACATACTTTATTTTTTCTGTGCCAAATGTATTGCTCATTTCTTTTTCAGGATAGCAATGAGGTTCACCGTTTTTCTCTCTACTCTAATTAGATTTCAACAATAAACTTTTCACGTTCTTAAAATGTGGGCCAGATCAAATTGTGGGCAATAAATAAGGGATGGATGGAGTACAATTTAGATGTCAGTTTTGAGAACTTTCCAACATGTCCTGCAAGTTTTGAACACATAATGCTTCTGCATAGATAATGCAAGAAAAGAGACTTACCGCATAAGCGTCGGAATACTGTTTTGGATAATCTGGAGATGCGCTAAGCACTGTCTGCAGCATTCAATTCTGTCAATACCAAAACTCAAATCCTTAGAAGATGAACATTTAAAAGGAAGCACGTGAATAGTGCATAATATTAACAGAGACGGACATACCTCTCCTCTGCATGAAGATCAACACCTACAGATGGACGTGCTGAAACAGCTGATCGAACTACTGGACCAAAGATTGCCACAAGCTTCAATAGTATCTCTAGAGAAACATTTGCATGCCTGCAAAAAGAAGAACAACACAGCTTATGTGAATTTAAGTGGAACATCACAATAGAACATTACTCGAGCAGCATCTTGTGATGCTCATCTCATAAACTGTGCAATACTAGTTACCTTTCAACTTTGCTTTCTAGTAAGCTCAACAGGACCGGAAGTATGGAAGAAAACAACTCTAAGGTAAAAATCTCCATTCTTTCAATGAGAACACTGACTACATCTGCTTGTACCTGGACAAAAGATACTTAGTATGAAACATATGAACTTTATTGACAAATTGAAACTGTTGATATCAATTTAACCAAATATTATTATCATTCTCCACCAAATACCCACAGATTGATTAGGCAATTTCTTCAAGGCATTTATTGCACCCTTAATGTCATTCTGCTGCCAAAAATGTCGAACTACCTACAAGGTATTCAGAAAAATTATTCCCAAATTTCCATGAAAGCTTTCACATGTTAAGACTCTAGATTACACAACTTCTGAAGGCAGATATAGATAAAATATAAAAATGGAGACACCAAATCTGAGGACCATCAAGAAGACATAAAAGCAGTACATGCAAGAAAGTTATTAGTAACATAGCAAACAATAATAATAATAACAATAACAAACAATTATGAGCTATCTTCAAAAAATTACCTGCAACTTTGTTAGCCGCGATCTCAATGTACTTAAAATGATGTCATGACTCTGCATCAGATTTTCAATGATACCAATATCACTCACAGTTGTTTCAGCCCCTCCAACAATTTCTGCATTAGAAGTCTGCATATACTCATTTAGCACATAGAATATATAGAAAATTTATACCACTAAAACATTACACATGAGTACATGACACTAGAAATGAAGCACAACACCCTACCAGCAAAGGAATATTTTTTGCTTCCTCAGGATTAGATTGAGGAATTGTATCAGAAGTATGGGCATCACCAGCTCCCAACTTTTCTCTTCCATCAACCCTCTCAACCTATTTACAAGAGACAAGTCAATGCTAGCTAAAAGAAATCAAGGGTAACTATCACAACAGATTTTTCAGAGGCTTGATAATAAAAGAAAACTAAAAGGAAGCACAAAGACTATACTGGGGAAGGTGGGTTTACTTCCTCAGGTTTAGAACAAGTGTCTGTATGAGGAATCTGGGAAGCATCATCTATCCAATTTCTTCTTCCATCAAATCTTTCAACCTACAAATAAAGCTCAATAAAAAAACATGAATGCAAAGTCCTTGCACCATTAGTAGTTCAAATATTGTTTGGATTGGGTTAATATATCTTTAATCTTCTATGTAAGACACTAAGGTTGTAACAGAGGGATATCTTTACAGAACAAACATAAATAACCATACAGGTGAAGGATGATTAGGAGGTGGTCTTGACTCCTCAGGTTTAGAAAGAGGACCAATGTCAGTAGTGTCAGAAGTTCGGGCATCTTCATTGTTCACCCTTACTTTTCTGTCAACTCTCTCAACCTAAATGCAAGGCAAATTAAAAAAAATTAATAAAATATTGTCAAACTGGAGAGCTACCTTGAATACAGAAAGTAACTTTCTGCAACCCTTGGTTTTGCTTCTACATTTAGGAAAATCTTAAATATGATAACGGATTAATACTGTAAAAAAGCAAAGCATTTTACCTGTAAAGGGGAGGATTTTGCTTCTTCGGGTTCTAAAGAAAGAACTGTGCCAGGGTAGCATGCATCATCACCTTGTGGTATCTCCCTCTTCTCAAATCTTTCAACCAGACTACGTGTCCTTCCTGGTGCCACAGCAACTGCCAATAAAATAGCATGATGACAATGTAATAAATGCAAACAGATTGAAGACAAAAAACAGAGCTTCAATTAAAAAAGTAATCAATAAATTAATGAAAACAGTATATGACCTTCTTCATATACCAAGCACGAACTATTATAATTCTTCCATAAACAGTGTATACAAACTTCTAGTCTTCTACTCCCTCTATCCCAAAGAAATTGTCATTATAAAGAAAATACACATTATTATTATTATTATTTAATCCACAATGGCCATTAATATTATTATTATTATAAGTATAATAATAATTATTATTATTATTATTACTCCCTCCGTCCCATAAAATTCTTCCCACTTTCCTTTTTGGGCCGTCCCAAAAAATTCTTCCCACTTGCCATTTTTGGACAATTTGTGTGGTTCACATTCATTTCACCTTTTTCTTACACAACCACAACCATACATTTCCACTTTATTACACTTTCTTAATCTCCGTGCCAAGTCAAACTGGGAAAAAAATTCTGGGACGGAGGGAGTATTATTATCTAATCCATAATTGAATGTACGATAACTGCCTTTACTGAGTGTAGAACTTTTATATTTTTAAAAAAGTAAGGAGGGGCACAGTTGGAAATAAACCTATAGAACCCATTCAACTTATAATACAAATATACTTGACAAATTTATGGGACATCCATAAATGACTAAGTGAGACAGGTTCTGACTTTTGAGGTATTGCAAGCATACATTTGAAAGATTCACTAGGCAAGTGCAGTAAAATAACAGATGAACTCTAGCAGTTTTTGGAAGCAATATTAATGCTTCATCTTTAGGCAATAACTGCCTGGTCGGCGAGGGAAAGGCGTAAATAGTGTCCACGTAATGATAATAATAGAATTTGAAAAGGACCAAGATTTCATGAGACCAAAGCCACAGATACTACATACATAGATAAACATGCAAAAGGTCATAAAAGCATGATGGCAAATCTAATGAATTCACCCATCCCCTCACCTGCGGCTGCTGATTGAAATATCAGTTTCTCTGACTTATCTTCACCATTCTTAGCAGATGAGTCTTTTTCCTTTAAGACGTTCTGAATTGAATCTGGTTTAATTGTTTTCTCCATATCAAAATTGTTTGCTGGCCTCCTTGATTGAGACCGCCTAATGGACATACTGGGATTGGCCCTGGTAGTTGAAATGACTTCCCTTCTAGAACTGGCCAAATCTTGACTATCATGAGGAACAAGAACTGGGGCAATGAAAGAATTATTGCTGGCAGATTCTTTGGTTTTTCTGTTTGACACTTTAAGAGAACTCCGCTTCTGAGTGCATAGAGGATCACTCTCCTTACAATCAGGTTGGGGAATAATTTCAGGAGAATGAAAAGAACCATTCTTCTTGGTGGTGATAGGATCTTCACCTACAAAATGAAACATTAAATATTAGCAATAGGTATAAGACATAATATATAAATCATACCAAACATGCATATGAAAATGCTTCCCAAAATCGCAGAATTAAGGAACAAAATCAAGGAACAAAATGCATATGAAAAAGTAACTTTTTCAAAAGTAAACCACCATGCTATGCAATCTTTGCATAGTCCGAATCATGTTTTCGGATAAAATCTACATGAGAGACACTGCATCCTACGAGATCTTGTTTCAGCATTTGGGATTTAAATCCATAATATTCATTGTTGCATCACTCTACCTTGATAGAGTTAACCATGATTGAAAATCATTTTTGCTTAGAATATTCCATCTACTCTTACAGATATTAATGGAATAAAAAAAATTGGTTGACATAATAGTGGTTAAGGTAAAAAAATCTTAGAACTTGATAATAAAATCCACATCAAGGACTGTGTGAGTGCATGGGTGGGAGCGGAAAGCGGATAAACAATTTCCAGGAGTTAATTTCTTTTCTGCACTCTTATTTTCTTTTCAACAACTTACTGTCAACATATATATTCTTTATCTCTTTGGAATCATAATCAGGAGATGAACAGCAGATACTTGAATTTGAACTTCTATTGCTGCCTAATATTTGCACCGCATTTTCCTTTTGTTCTTGTATCTGCTTCAAGTTGCTATTCTGCTTGGTGTTCATACAAGAACCATAGGGTTCGATGACCTGACATGAAAAGAAAAGGAAAAAAAACAAGATGGAAAAAACTTCTATAGAAGGGGCGATATAAGGATAAACCAATGTGGAAAGTAAGACAAACAAATATAAAAGTTAAAATTGGGTTATTATACATTCACATTATTAAGGTATGTACCGAAGTATCTGCTACCCAAATCCCAACAGAGTTCCGGTAATATGCACCGCCCAAAAGTTTTCCATCGTGAATGCAGAGATCACCAAGTGTTGACCATCCCATATCAATAGAATCATGGCAAAGTACAGGTTCCCATGAATAAACCTAGAGTTCAAAGGAAGTGAACAATGTAAGTGTTACCATTTTTCTATGCAAGGGCGATAATTTCATTAGTGGTAAGGGTTAACCTTCAAGCTATCATCTAGTCCACAAAATAAAGTCCTTCCATCAGGATGAAAAGCTATTGACCTTACTCCTGTAGCCTGTGAGACAAACAAACCCATGGAACATGTTCAAAGCTCTGGGTATAGTGATCAAATTAAAATATTGACCAGAACTGAAGGTGGAATGTCATAGGCTTCTAAATATTTCAAGCTCAACAAGCAAGTTTTCACATCACTTTCAATGCAAGCTATAGAAAGGAAAAACATTATTACCTCATACAATAATGACAATATCATGTTAGCCAACCAATAAGAACTGTTTCCCTAAATAGGTTTCTTAACCAATAAGTAGATGTTTGGAGTCCAATGGTCCAACGTTCAAAAAAGAAACATTGTTCATACTTTAATGCAAGCTATAGAAAATAAAAACGCTTGCCTCAGCTCATTGAACCTGAGTTAACTTGAATGTGCCAATTGGCTAACAAAGCACAGATTAAACTATCATTACAGGAATAAGTTGTCCGTATATGAATTTTGAAATAGAAATATCATTACACACAATTTAAATTATTAAAAAGAATAAAGTTTAATTAATGGCTTATTAATTATATGGACTTTCCCTATTCGTTTGCATCTAAGTGCAAATATTTGCGTTTGCATTAGATTCTATATGGCTATATAAAGAAATATCATATTGAGAAGGTGATACCACAAGACTGTACTCTGTCGGAATCGCAAAAGATCCTTTTTTCCACATGCAAATGTAAACAACCTAGGATTTTAGGACTTGAGTGATTATTACAAATTGAAAAGGAAAAGGAAAAGTCCAAGTCTTAAATGTTCATGCCACCCATATCAAAAGTTAGCAAAAAAAAGGGATAATTAATTTAGAGCAAGTAACCAATTACTCAATTTGAGTGACCTCATAGAGATCAATAATAACATTTGGAGATGATTTTACGAATGATTCCAAAAGGGAAAAAACAGAGCTAATACAAGGAATGACCCCTCCCGGTTAGCCTGTCAGCTTACCTTTTGTCCTTTCCTGACTTATATTTTGGAAGGTGGACGCTAAAAGCCTGATAAATGAGGATTTAAACTTTTACATGCTTTCTGTCTTGAAAGAAGGAATAATATGTACTGTTGCTCAAAATAATGCACAACAAGATCTCTATACATAGGCACCACTTAAAGAACAGTCCAAGGCAAACACGTATGTAATATGGTGGCTTAACAGCCACACATCATCTGATCAAAGGCTTGATAGCCCCAATGCCCCATGGAATACAACAAACCTTATATACTTCAATACATGTTACCTCAAAACTTCATTTCCTTTTTCTTTTTCCCTTTCTGTTTTTCATGACTAAATTAAAACTTTAAATTTTAAAAACAGCACTAATCAAGGTGGGTAAAGGGAAGGGCTGGCATACCTCACGCCTCACAGATCCAATCATTTCAAAAGTTTCCAAATCCCAAAACTTTACAGTTTGGTCTGCTGAGCCTGGTTAAAAAGTAGAGCACTGGTTTGAAAGCATAAACATGACAAAATGCTCATGAAGGAAGTAAAATATACAAGTATACATCTTTATGTTTAAGCATATCCACTGAAGCCAGATGTTTATACATGAAACGATTGGTAAGAATGAAAGAAATAGATCCACAAGTTCCATGCCAGTGCGCAAAATATGTGACTCAGTTAACTTGCTAAGCCTTCTATCAATGCAATTTCTAATTGGCATTTAGTTCTTGCAAATTTTAATTGCACTACCTTCACCACTGGTGTTCAAGTGTCAACTAAAGAGAGGATAGTATGAAGGGAAAATTAAAAGAAAGGCAAATTATTTAAAGAGAAAATAGACTAATTGTACTTCACTGTGAATGTAGAAATGTAGACCCATAAAGGGATTTTATGCACACCTGTTGCCAGAAGAAACTCGAGAGGATGGAAATCTATGGACCGAATATGCCCTTCATGTTTGAAATCATGTAAAAGTTTCCCAGCTGTTAGATCCCATACCTGGCCAATGGTAAAAGGGTTCATGCTATAGCAAAAGCAAAGACAAATGAGTGTATGTTCCAAAGTGAGCATTAAAAAATACCTTAACAACATTGTCAAGTCCACCAGAAACTACCCATCGACCATCCGGGGTGAATCGTATGGTGCTAATTGCTCGTGTGTGACCCTTATATGTGTGTATGCATTCTTTCTTTCTTATATCCCACATCTTTAGGTAAGTGTCCACAGACCCAGAAGCAAAAAATTCACCGAACGGATAAAATTCAACAGCTTTGCAATATGATTTGTGTCCACTAAGAGTGCGAATAGCTACACTTAAAAAATAATAGAAATATTAGAAGTTTCATTTTTATAGCTCACCTAGTGTGTTGTGTAAGCCACATATAAACACAGAGAGAAAAATAATTTAATTTCAACAGATACAGTCGGAAACGAGGAATTTGTTGGAACTACATAATGACAATTAAGGTCTAAGCTTTGGGATAGTAAGTCATCTGAAATGCATGTTAGTTAAGTGAGCTATATCTCTTTGAGATGCAAAATGTGCAACTACTCCACTTAGTAAGCTATTGAAAAGCAAACTTACTCTTAGCATCCTCCAGATCCCACATCTTTATTAAACCAGATGAAGCTCCAGCGGCCACTAAAAGCTCTGCTGAATCAAAAGCTACAGACTCTATTGGACCTGTGTGGCCAGATAAAATCTGCAATGATGATTACATACTCAGGGGCACAGTTGAATATTATGATTATGGCATCACAGTGATCAGATTCGTGAACTTACAGAGGAGGGGGTTGGTTTGCCAATTGACCATACGTTCACACTATGATCATCATCCCCAGTTATGAACATCCTAAATGTCTTCTTACCAAACCTTAAACAATTCACATTCCCCGAATGTGCCACAAACTCCTCTATATTAATCCCAGTCAAGAAACGCAAATGAACATTTAACTTTTAGTTCGATGCCTTGAACAAGATAATGGTCCTTAAAGTATCTCAGTGTGTGAGAGAAAAAAAGCTAGATGATTTAAAAGTCCAGATTTCTATTAGTCATTATTCTCCTCCGCTCAATTGCAATAATCAGGAAAATGAAAAACAAAAGTAGAAATTATTTTAACAATACTAAAGTCAAGCTCCTTCTAGGTTCCTTGAAAGCACAGCAGTAGCAGCAAAATAACTTCTTTCCCGCTTGCATCAATCTAAGGTGTCTGACTAATTTACTCGTCTAAGCTCAGATACCATTTTCATCAACAATTCAAGATATAAAAAAGACCACATTCCCGTCATTCCCAATCCGGCTTTACCAATAACCAAGATCCAGTATTATTCACTAGGGGGGAAATCTCATATAGATAGCACTCGGTAAAACATTATACATTTATCCAGATCATATGTGAAAATAGACTAGAGCCTTAGTAAGCTTAACTTCAGCAAACTTAAGAAAGTTGGGAAGGATACGCAATTTATATCCACGCTTCGCCATCCGAAAGCAACAACTAAACTGACCGGGGAGTCAGGATTGGGTTGATCGAGCACCGACCGACCGACGAAGCCGTGCTCCACCTCTGCGGAGTAGAAATCCGCCGGAAAAGCTAAGAAATGTATATTTGATCAAACTTGTTAATAGCTTAAAGCAAGTTGGAATTTGGAAATGGAAATTTCACAACGACCGCACCTGCAGGGGCTTGCAGTATGAAAGCAATTTGGCTTTGTTTTTTTGCTTTTTAAAACTAGTCGGTAGACTTCGGACGAATGTGCCTTGACAATTGAGTTCCCATTTCGGATTATTATTACAGTTATTTTGAAAACAATTACGGAGTACTTCATATTTTTACTTTTTTCTTTGATTCTCCCTATTTTAATAGGGAGTAATTAATGATAAAATTATACTCGTATTCCTAACTTCATCTCATAATAAAATGTAAAAATATGAATTTTTACACATCGTGTGAGTATGTGACCAATTAATTCATTATATTAGTCATTAAACTGTTACAACTAAATAAGAATGTATGAGTATTATTTATCTTTATATGATATCCTTTTTATAACAATAAATAAAGTGATATCAAATCATTGATATTTTTGATAAGTTCATTTTTATGAACGCTTTTAAAATATGTTATAAATATTCTTAATATCATACAATTTTTTGGACAACTTTTTTTAACCTATTATAGTATTTCTAAAATCTTATAAAGCCCAATGAAGGTTAGGGCCTTTTAGGTATAAAAAAATGTTGGTGGAACTATATAGCAATAGGTAAGTGTACTCTACATTTAAAACTTTGTACTCTCTTACAATTATCTCATTAGTCTGACTTCCCCGTTACTCTTTCACCGTTGCAAGACAAAAAGCCAGGACCTTTAATTTCCCCTTACTCTGTTACCGTCAACTTTTAATTCATTTGCACACAATCTCTATTTGCAATTTAAATGGGATAAGGGTCAGTTTGGTCCTTGAAGTTGCAAAAAAAAGGGTCAAATAAGTCCTTATATAGAAAATTCTGTCCGGACGTATCATTTGAGGTGGCTCCCGGTGGAATTTTTTGATTAAATTTTTTGAGCATCTTATTCATTAAGTCTAGTTTACTCATACCAAATTTCAGATAAAAATTCAATCGGGAAGACATTCAAATGAATTCTTGAAGATAACTGTGCCGTTAAAAGCGCAGTTATCTTCAAGAATTCATTTGAATGTCTTCCCGAATGAATTTTTAGCTTAAATTTGGTATGAGTAAACTAGACTTAATGAATAAGATGCTCAAAAAATTTCATCAAAAAATTCTACCGGGAACCATCTCAAATGGCACGTCCGGACAGAATCTTCTATATAAGGACTTATTTGACCCCCTTTTTTGCAACTTTGAGGACCAAACTGACCCTTTACTCCAATTTAAATTATCATTTATTTTCAGTTTTTCACCCTTCTACTTTTTACGCATAGTTCTTAGCGTGCAATCAAAACATCGTTACGGATTGGAAGCTGCTCTTTCGTCTTTCCTCCTCGTTGTTCTTCATGTAAGAGCACTAATTTTTATTTAGTTATTTATTAATTTGATTAAGTAAAGGCTATAAACAATTTTGTTGGGAAAGCAATTTTTTAAACGTGTAGAAATTTCTTCTGAATGTTAAATGTGTACAAAATTTTCATTGTCATTTTAGATTAGGTTTAGTTCTGATTTCTTTCAGTGATTTAAATGTGTAGAAATTTCGTCTTCTTTCTCTGATTATTTATTTATATTTAATCTTGATTAAGTATGCACTGTGAACGACTTAGATTTTCAATTACGATTCCCCTTCACTACCATTCTCTTTTTAGCCCTTTCATTATGTTGGGGAAGCGATACTGTTTAATTTACTTATATGAGAGCAATGTAGAACATGATATGAATTTTAATTATGTCCTAAGACTACATGTAGATGCAAATTTAAGCAAGCACTAACTAGAATTTTTGCTCTTATCAGAAAAGCTAGGTAGGGGGTATTGTTGCTCCTTTGAGTACGAAGACTATATCCAATAATGTTGAAATTGATGAATTAAAAGCTTCACTATGGGATTTCAATTCCGGGACATTTTAATCTTGATATGGAGTTGAAATATGATTGTCTTCTTTCTGTTAATCAGATTATCAATGATGTAAGTGGTTTTTGTATTAATACTCTATTGGTTAAGAGAATAAAAAGTATAACTAATAAGGAAGAATCAAAATTAGCAACACCTCTGGAGAAGGTAATGAACCTGAGGATAGTATTGTTGGTAAAAAGAACTGAGTCGTTTCTTTAAACATTTTGAATAGGAGAAGATTGTGTCAAATAAGAATTATAGCTGAAAGGTAAGGGAGTGGTTATTTCAGACATTTCAAAACGCTTACCGTTTTATATTTGGAGGCATTGGAGCCTTTGGCTTCCTAATCCTTGTATATCTGAAGCTAATAAGAGTGACCTTCCTCCTCTTTTAGTTGACATCGTTCTGGTTTTTAATCCTTCTTTGGGGGTTATCCTTGTTGTTTTCAATTATGTTTTATTTGTATAATGTCTTATTTGTTTTGGTCCTTACACGTTCTTTTTTTGTACCCATTGAGGTAGAAAACTCTTAAGAGGGTTGGCACGAGGCCGTTGACAATATAGCCCATTCACTTGTACTTATTGGTATTAATAAAATATACTTCGTTCATATTTTTTATATAGAGAAACCTAAAAGTACTTCATTTTCCCTATAACTTATTCTCACTTCAACTTGTCAGTCTTTTTTCACACTATTTAATTAAGTAAAATTGTGTGCCTAAGGTTTACATAGCAAAAATGAAAGTAATATCAAAACAATCTTTTTCTTCAAAGAAAGTAGGAATAAGATTTTAAGACTGCAAAAAAAAAAGTTGAACCAGAATGATCCGTCACTTTATATACTACGTACTACATTGTTAATCTTTTTAAAAAAACAATAGTGTACTTTAAATATCACCCCTCTCTGGGAAAAAGAATTTAAACGAAGCATAAATTGAGACATTGTTATATAAATTACCAGATAAACTTAAGGAGAATGTGCTGCTTCCATATTACGTTTGTCCCCATAATGTGTAACAGTAGAAGAGTTATTTGGACCAACCCTAATCTGCATGTGTTGAAACTAATTAAATATGAAAAGTCTTACTGGGAGTTATTTGGACTGAAGCCAATTTCATAGCAGCTTTTGCTTTTCTCCTACTAATACTCTTTATTTAATATTGGTGTTATATTGTACAAAGCTATAGCATGGTTTATATTTCTCGATACTTTGTGTATTGACGTTGAGATTCTTTGCCACCCTTTATTACTATTACTACGTTATTACTATTACTACGTTAAGGGACAAACCCCTCCTGGGAAAGAGCAGAAGATTAATTACACAGATTAAGGGCTTTTTGAACAAGAATGGTAGTAGAATTTTACTCATTAGGCTGTAAGGGAATAATGTAGATGCCTTATTTATATAAACCAGTTTTGAGCTTATTAATAAGCATGTTTACACTCATGTTGACACTTCGCCTTAGATGGTTGAGGGTGCTATTGCCTTATATGTTGAGGGTGTTCCTAGACTTAGTTTTTCTTATTGTGATTGTTTTATTTACACAATTATGTTCTATCTAGAGGAATGCAAATCGGTCGGGACTTTGTAAATTCTTTAATGCTCCCTCCGTCCCGCTAACAATGGGAAAAGAGAGAGTGACACACAAATTAATAAAAAGTGGTTTATGTGGTTGATATTGAATTGATAAAGTAAGAATAAAATAAGAATGATTTAGAGCCAAACAAACTTTGCCAAATTTGGTATGAGACAATCTTAGTGGGACGAACCGAAATGGTGATACGGGATAATCTTAGCGGGACGGGGGTAGTATTTTTTAATGAAGGTGTTTTTCTAAAATATTACTGGTATTTTTTTATAGGTAGATTACATGGTTGCAGTGGAGACTTAAGGTGGCAATATAAATCATTGATTTCTCTTAATATATCAGGGACTTTAATAAATTGTTAATTAAGAAACATGCAACTTATGAGGTAGCCCAAGACGTGTAAATCATATTACCTGGACAATCACAAATGTCATATTTACATACTACGTATTACCTATATTAATTTTCCTATCCAAATTAATAAATTATTATTGGGCATTATCTTTATCGCGCAACGCGCGACGTGAAACCAGTGTTCTAAATATCATACAATTAATGTCCAATTACGTTCAATTTAATTTTTTGCTTTTCAGTTATCAATTAATTACCAGTTTCATAATTGATAGTGCAATCATATCGTTTGTACATTAGTTTGGATGTAGTAAATAAACTAGTTTTTATCACGCGCGTTGCGCGATAGAGAAAATGCCCAAAATTATTTCTATAACTTAAAGCTTTAGCTTTATTTTTGCACCGTATATAGTCTCCGCAAACAAAAGTAACTTCAATCTTACTTATTTTTATTATTATATAATTTAACGTGTGAAATCAAAAGTTGCATGTTGGTGAAAAAGTTGTTTCATAAGACTGATAAGCCGAAAAAGAGAATCACCAAAGAGGCTGTTAATGACAATCTTTTTCTTAATTAATAAAAATATAAGAATCATCTAGTAATAACAAAAATAATAATAAATCATGTCTGGAATTTTCTAATATGGTGTGAATCCTTCTTATCTGATATGGCCTGGTCTTTCTGATGTGAGAAGAATTTTTCTGAGTTGATATGATCAAATCCATTTTTTTCTGATCTAAATGAAATCAGGGGAATGCGTGCTACACTATCAACGATTACTTTTAGTATAACGGTAAGTGCAACGATCCACACTTACTCCTCTTTTAAAAATGGGAGCTGAGATTAAGAATATCACACCATTTTTAGGGTGATATTTGACCTTGCACCCTATTTTAAAAATCATTAATGTATGCATGCTAATTCGATTTACAATGCTCGACTGACGATAAAGAAAACAGATCCCTGTCCGCATTCAAATTTTTTTTAGAAAAATAAAATTACATATTTAAAAACAAAATTAAAAACTTTACAAAGTCGCAAAAACCAGAATCAAATTTGATAACAAATTGATATATAAAGTAAGATATTAAGAGTGATTTGTGTTGACCAAGTGAATAGTGTTTGAGACAATCTTAGCGGGACAGAGGGATTATATATTAGTGATTTTGAAAATGGAGTGCATACTATATATTAGTGATTTTGAAAATGGAGTGCAAAGTTAAATATCACTC